CTCTACAGCAACAACTTTCATATTAAACACACTCAAACATACACACACACACACACTCACATTTACACTCACCCAGAGCTGAGAGCGACTTTACGTGAATGTGAATTTAACGCATTTCACCTGTGGACTTTCACTGACTAATTTGTTTCTGTTTCTGCTTCTCTTTCTCTGCCCGAGATTGCAGCGTTGCTGAACTGAACCTTGTGCAACTTTGTGTGTTTTTCACTTCTTTTCCTTTAACACTGAAAATTGCCACCAACTTGTTGAAAGAATGATATCAACATTTTAATCATATTTGGTTAGCTTTTAAAATTGTTAATTCTATAAGGATCGTTCATTCTTTAATAGGATATTATAGTAGAAAAATAAATACTATAATTACTGAATGGTTCTAAGAAATTTGTAAAGAATTTTAAAGTCGAATCATAATGAGATTAGGACAAAAAAATCTACAGATATTGATTGCATACAGATATTGTGGCATTTTCCAGTCGAGCAACCTTACCATATAATTTCAACAGGCCGCTGCACATTATCGGTGGTGATAAAATATGTGGCAAACAATGCAGCGGCCGCATTGAAATAGTTGAGCAGAGTCTGAGGGGTTGAACGGAACACTTTGTAGGGGGTTAAGTGCGTTTATGTTGGCAAGAGGCCAGCACTTCGTTGTGGCAAGTGGCAAGTGGCAAGAGGGTAGTGGAGCGGCAATTATCAGCTCCTTACAGCGCGCTTTGCAATTGGCAGCTGTGAAAATTTGTTCGCTGCTTCGCCCTATTTGCTGTTGTGCTGTAGGTGTGATGCTGTGTGTGAGTGTGTGTATGTGTGTGTGTCTGTGTTCAGTGGGTGTACCATGTGTGCATGCAAATTAACTTACTTAAACGCGTTGAATCCTTGAGTCGGCGCTCTTTGCTGACGTCAATTGATTGCTGTTCAGTGTATGCTAACAGACGGTGCCTTATCAGCTGTTATAAAACGAGTGTCACACACTCACACGCACACATATACACCCACACACACACACACACAGACGCGAGTCAAGTGTCAGAGATATGTGAAAGCATGCAACAAATACAGACTTGTTAATACAGTCACCTCCCCAGACTCCTTGTCTGCACATGTTCAATTTGCATTTGAGATGTTCCTAGTTGGGAATACACCCAACGTGGCAGACTTCAAGACTGTCTGCAACATTACAATTCAGCTCAAATCTCATTTAATCTACACAGCTAAGCTGATGAGCTCATAAGCACTTCTTTACCTTTTTTACCTTTAAATTGCCATCATCAGCGTTTTGCATTAGCTTTTGGTGATAATCATTGGGCTAAATGCTTATGACATTATACTCTGTTCTGGCATTGTTCCACATATGGCTATCGAACAAAGGCCAAAATATATCCATTAGTGGGTTCGTGTTTCCACAAAAAGCAGCATGAAAATAATGCAACGTATGAATAATTCGAAGATTTTAATCGACAGCACTAATAATATTTCTAGTAAAAATAGAGCATGTTAAACAACCATTTTTTATATTTCAAGATTTATTCTTAGATAAAATTATAGTATTTGTAATTTGTATTTTATTAACTTAATTCTCAAACTTAAATCGGAAATATTTTTTTATAACCATTAGCCATAGCGCCATGTTCATTGCTCAGCAAAAATGTACTTATATAATAAATAATAGGCTTTCTGGTATTTGTCTGCCTTCTATGTCATTTTACTTTCGTTATAGTTATATAGACTTTCTTGACCCGGACTTGTGTATAGGGTATAAAACTAACTGATGGTCGTAAATTATTCTGTCTCAAAACAAAATGCATGCACTAAATTAACATAAACTTATCAAAGCAAACACTTTCAAAGTATTATCAAAAATGATACACATGGAGAAAGGAATGTAAGTCTACAAGTTTTTTGTATATAATTTTAAAATTAATTAAAAAATGTGAAAATAAAAGAGTATTTCATAGAATGGACTTGACTACAACCATTGATAGTACAATTTTCACTGTGTGTATGAAACCGGCTCATAGTTTATCTAAAATTAAAGGTAATTAAGTTGCCTTTTCAAAAAGTATTAACTTGTAAGTGTAGCCATTTCGTAGACTTAAACAAAAGCTTTAGAAAAATGCTCTATTTACGAATTATTAGTGCATTGACTTTTATACCACCTTAACAATTTTTCCTTGATTATTTTGATAGTTTTTTCCTGTGTATTTACCATGCTATGCATAAATGTATGATTGTATTTACGTTGGGTCTGTCCGTTGAGATTAAGCCGCCTTTTTAGTGCTTATTGCACAGGCTACTCCATTAGAGTTAATCTCTGTACAATACAAGCGCATTTCGCAAATTTTTTTTATTGTTGTTATTTTGCTGTTGTTGCTGTTTTTGCCATGGTCATTTTGTGCACGAAAAGTATGCAATGCTATTTTTTATGTCAGCGACGCGCTCGCAACATCTGTGCAAAACGGTGGACGGGTGGCCAGAGAGCGAGAGATCGAGAGGGAAAGTAAGATAGAATTATGGCCAAACAGAAAAATCCAGTTATAAAACACCACAAAACGACCATCAAATAATAATAATAATAATGAAATCAGTGAGAACCAAAGAACGTGGCCAGTGCCTCATAAAGTAAACATCATAAAGCCAAAAGTGCCAAGTGGACCAACTACAAACCGTTGGCAGTGTTGGCAAGCAGTAACATATATGTATATATATATATTATATATATATATATATATTAAATAAATATATATATATATGCTTATATATATATATCCGTGCAAAAGAAAAATCCACAAAATAAATTGTGTACATTTCTACACCGTCTGCTCGACTGAACAGTTTATTATGTGTCTGCATGTTAGCCTCATAAATTGGCCTTGACAGTGAAACACTTGTAGGTACACTTAAGTTAAGTTGGCTAATAAGAAAACATGTAGGGAGTGCCCCTATTACTAGATAATACCATTGCGAGCTGTTTTGGTACACTTCGCTTGAGAAAATGCAAATTGCTGCGTATAGTTTTGTTTTCGTTGCGTAATTGGAACTTTTTGCAATATGAATTATCTCGAAATTCAAATCAGAATTTTCAGTGCATTTGAATTATTTTTAAATAACAAATTGAGCTTGAAGACATAATAAAATAATTTTTATTGCAAAAAATAGAAATGGAAAATGTCAAAGTCGAACTACTAACCTCAAGCAATCTGCTCTTAGGTTAAGGCAACTGTTGCTGCTGCTTGCAATCAGCTAAAAATACAGCAACCAAAGTGCTAAATTGCAGATGACAAACTCAACAGTTGCACCACTCTGCACCATTATGTTAATGAGCTTGCAGCAGCAACGGGGCAAATGCAATTATAAACAATTGCCAGAACCCTCAAAGCCATATGCAACAAGGCGGCACAGTTAAGGTTGCCAAGTTGTCGAAACTCAAATACCCTAACGGACACCATAGTTCACTGACTTGAAACACCATCTGCTCAAAATAGTTAAGAACGTTGTTCATCTCATGTTGTATATGGTTAAGAGCTTTTGCTCATTTTAAGTTGGCTATAAATAAAAAAAAACAATCCGATAAACGTGGCTATAATAAATCACCTTGCTGTGTAGTCTAGGAATGCTTAAGTATATTTTCAATCATATTAGAATGTTTTTCTAACATTTCGTAATAACTTAATGGAACAACCCTGCCAGGGGAAAAAAATTGTTTTTAAAGTTTTTGCATTTCATTAATGTGATTCTTTCACATTCATAATGTGAAAGCATTCGTCAGACGAGACTTGGGTGGAGTGGAGCCGTTGAAATGCGAGACGACAATGCCTACCAAATGAGCCCAACTCAGAGCTTGGATGACGTTGTGCGTCTGTGTCGGGTTCTCTGTCTGCAGCTGCTACCTTCTGCTGCCTGCTAGCTGTGCACCTGCCACTGACACTGACACGCACATCACATGCTCCAATTCTGTTCAGCTTTTTCTAGCTGAAGTTCTTCGCCTTGGCCTTCTGCATTCCACTCATCCATTTGATATGCTTTTTGTTGCTTATTAAAGGCGAATGTGTCTGCCGCATGAGTGCATAAATTAAATGAGCTTGTTTTTTTTGTTGTTGATGCATCAGTAAATCGCTGGGCATGGCCATTCTCTCCAAAAAATTACTCTTGTGCCAGCACATGTCGATTCTGATGAAATTACGTATACGCAGCGGGATAACAATCCATGAGTGTGTTTGTCTGTGTGTGTGTATATGAAAAACTTTTTGCTGTTCTGCTCTCTGGGTAGCATTTGTCGAGCATTGGACTGGCACCGGCTTTAATTTGTCCCTGTTCTGGTTCTGTCTTATGCGCACTTATGTGATATAATATAATAATATAATTTTTTCCTTTGTACTCACTACAAATAACACAGGCGTTTTTGAAGCAGTGCAATTTTGTCTAAAAGGCATCAGGATGCATTTCTAGAGACTTAAATTTCACTATATTAGTTCTCGTATGCCTAAGAAAGATCTATTTTATTTTATTTTATCGATTCGATGCATTCCGTGTTTCCCTAAAATCAAATATTGATTTCTTCTGAAGCTAAGAATATTAAAAATAAATTGTCTGTGATGCTCGGGGAAGAGAAAGCACAGTCATTCTCTGTGTATTTTTGTTCTAAAAACTATTTATTTCAGTGGAAAATCTTGAAAGTTTTGTGAAAGACACTTTGTGAATTGTCGTCTTAATTGTTCTGACATGGCTGTTGAGTGCCGAGCATAAAATACATGTTTTGTAGTGCACCATAAATATGCCAAAATAAGTTATACAACAAGAATTGAATAAACTTAAATGCAATTTAATCGTTTAGAAAATTAAAATACATCGATGCTAGTGGTTTTTCTATTTCGTTCTCTGCTTCATATATATAGATAGAAAGTGTTTGAGTGTCAAACATGCTTTTGCTTGTATTGTCAATCAACTACGAAATACACATTTAAAATTTTCTCCTCGATACTCGCTACACACACAACTTCTCAATAATGTTTGCACAATTGATTGGACCAAGGGGTTTTGCTCTTCTGCGACACTGGCAATTGGACAATACTCCGCTGGTGCACTCTAAGAAATACACAATAGCTTTGGAGATCAGGGAGTACAGCAAAGACGCATCCAAGAAGGGCAAGGCGCCAGGCAAGAAGGACAATGCGACAGACAAGAAGGGAAATTTGCCAGTTAAGAACGTCACATCCAAAGCTGCACCGCCAAAGGAAGCCAGCAAAAAGGACATCAAGGTGGCCGCTGTGAAATCGAGTGCTGCAAGCGATAAAAAACCAGATGTGAGCAAAACTTTCCGTCAAGCAAAAATAACGCCGTTCAAAGGGATGTTGAGCAATACAAAATCAGAGTTTGGGCCACTGAAAGATTGCGATCGTATCTTTCAAAATTTGTATGGGTTTCACGATTGGCGCTTGAAAGGCGCTTGCCAGCGTGGGGATTGGTATCGCACGGCGGATCTGCTGGATATGGGTGCCAACTGGATAGTGGATGAGGTGAAGCGTAGCGGATTGCGCGGTCGCGGCGGCAGCGGCTATTATACGGGCAATAAGTGGGAGTTCCTGCAGAAAGTGAATGCCAACAATAAGATACTGATACTCAACTGTGCTGAGGGTGAGCCGGGCACGTGTAAGGATCGTGAAATACTACGCCACGAGCCGCACAAAATAATTGAGGGCTGCCTATTGGCCGGTTATGCCATGGGCTGTGAGAAGTGCATCATCTATGTACGCAATTGTTTCTACAACGAGGCATGCAATCTACAATTTGCCCTGGCGGAGGCCTATCGATACGGTCTGCTTGGTTGCAATGCCTGCGACACGGGCATCAAGTTTGATATCCAGGTGCAGCGAGGCGATCGTTATTTGTCGGGTGAGGAGACGGCTCTGGTTAATTGCCTGATGGGTAAGCTGGCCAGGCCGCGCAAGCGTCCGCCTTATCTGCATGAACAGGGCTACTTTGATCATCCCTGTTTGGTGCTCAATACGGAAACTCTGGCCGTCGTGCCCACCATTTTACGGCGTGGCGCCAAGTGGTTCACGGGACTTGGACGCAACATGAATTTCGGCACAAAACTGTTCAGTATATGCGGTCATGTGCAACATCCTTGCACCGTCGAGGAGGAGATGTCGATGCCGTTGCGTGAAATCATTGATATGCATGCGGGCGGTGTTTGCGGTGGCTGGAATAATCTGCTAGGTGTCTTTCCGGGTGGTCTGTCCTCGCCACTGATCGGCAAGGTGGGTGCAGAGGGGTTGCTTATGGATTACGATTGCCTCCAGAAGGCGGGCAGTTCATTCGGCACCGGCGGCATTATTGTCGTCTCGAACAACTGTGATCCCCTCCTCGTCATGCAACGCTCCATTGAGTTTTATATGAAGCAAACCTGCAAACAGTGTACGCCTTGCCGCGATGGGGCCATATGGCTGCCCAAGATCCTGAGGAATTTCACCAAGGGCGAATCCGTGCCGCAGATGATTGATTTTGTGGCAGTAATATGCAAGACAATGATTGGAACGACTATCTGTGGCCTCTCCGACAGCCAGGCAAATGTGGCAATGGGTCTCATTACGCATTTTGCACCCCATATTCAACAGCGCATAGAGGCGTTTGGCAAGGATTGCTAAAGTTCACCATCTGTGTTTGGCAAATAAATTGCTTTTGAATTGCATATTGATTGGGTGTTGTGGCTGTCCATGGTGACACCTATGCCACCTGTTTGCCTAGCAGCATTCATCCTTGACCGAATTTTATTGAACTTCCTGGCATTTGAATGTCTCACGTGGTACCCGGATATCGCCCACTCGTTCGACAAACTAGCAAAATCAATATGTCACCCAAAGCCACAGGCAACTTAGCCCCCCGAGTACCAAAGCACCATTTCCTCGTCCTAATGCTTGTACTATCTGTCGCCTTCACTTCTAGTTAGTTGCTACAGATTTACAGCGTGTTTCGGGCTGATGAATTGCCATTACCGCAACGAATGGGTAAACAAGTTGCTATTATTGAAGAGTACTTGGCCAAAAGATATCTTGTTAGTTACACTAACAAGTCTCAGTAAAGTTACACACATTTTAGGGTCTTAAGTATATAGACTTTTAATATAAAGTTATATCATTCTATGTGATAACAAAATAAAATTACTGTCGATACTGACGACCAGATGTAAGAGTACGTTGTGAAACTTACGATTGTGGCTTCACTAGATGGTATAAGCGTCGAAAACCCCATCCTAAGGAGTACCTACAATCTAATCCAATCATCTCCTGAGCCAAACAAGGCAGAAGAATAGAGTATGCACCTAGCATTATAGTTTACAATCGCTAGTTTTTAGTCCACATGCATGCCACTTTCAACACATCCTGCACAGGATATTGAAAAGGATGCGGGACATTATAGGAAGAGAGACAGAGAGAGAGAGAGAAAGAGATGAAGTGGTTGAGTAAATCTAAAATTCAAGTGGGAGCATGAGTGTGGAAATGGCAAAGGCCACTTTGTTGACACAAACAAACACCAAAGCATTTGTCTGCGCTCCAATGATTGCAGCAACACAACTAGTCGACTGTGCAAGTGTGTGTGTGTGTGTGTGTGAGAGTGTGTATGTGTGAATGTCTCGTAATGCTCCTTTTGAGGGTCACATGTAGAATTTATCCTTTTTAGATAGCTTTCATTTAGCCAATAATCAAGTTTCGTCAGCAATATTGTGTGCAAGTGTTCTGTGTCCCCTAGCCTTAGATACTTGTTTGCCCCCACTAATTTGCTGGTAAGCGGTTTTGGCCAAACACCGATAAAAACTACTTCGTGTGAGTGTCTGTTTGTTCTGTGTGGGAGTGTGTCAGTTTATTGTACTAGTTGGCACTTGGTGCGTCTCATTTTTCATTGGAGGCGCAGCGCCTGCTTGAGTCTTATCTCAATTAGGAATTCATCCATTCCAACAGCTGAGCACACTTGACAGCTCTTGACGTTTGCCACCATATCGTTGAGCTTGCCCAGACTCTGTCTCCTCCTGACTGATTGTCAGTGGTGCCACCATGCCGTAGTGTCATTTGTGTGAGAGCGAAATCTGTTAAAAAGGACGTGACGTAAATGCGACCCCGTCTGTCAAATACTTCTGCTTCTGTATACATATTTCATACTGCCTTGACTGATTTTACCAACTTCTCAACAGCAGGCGCCTAAAGACTACGGTGCCAATTACTAATGAGAACCACTGAAAGTTTTCTTCATTATTTTTTTCTTTTGCGAAAATTGACCTTAAGTGGTGCCAACTTTCACGGTTCGCAGGCGGCCCTTCTGTTGCTTTGATGCGGCTGTTAAAGCTCTCTTACTAATTTAAATAACAGAATAGCTATATAATGGTATTTACTTTCATGTCGCTGTGCTCAAGTACTCTAGTGGTTTCTATTCATTGCGGCTTGGGCCGCAAAAGAGTGGAGATGGGCGCGTTAAGAATTTCTTTTTAGCATAATTTTGCACTGTATAATGGGGCATATATGAAAAATCACTAGCTTTCTCATTCTTTTTCTATATCACTTATTCACTCATAAAGTTTGTCAAAGTTCGCCGTGAAAATTACTTAAATTGTCAGATAGATTAGGTGTAAAGTTGAGTAGTCATTCATTGCATTCCTACTCGCTCTTTCCATCTTGTTAATCCTACTCTTTCTCTCTCTGTCTACTACTCTCTCTTTCTACTTGGTTTCTTTAGCTGCATTTCTTACCAATCTCGCTCCATTGCTCGCCCTTTCTCTTACTACTCTCTCTATGTCTGTTTCTCTGATTCCTTCTTCCTTGCTGTGCTTACTCCCTTCTCGTTTCCCATCCCTCGCTCGCACTCTCTTTAAAGAAATGCTTCAGACTTAAGCAAACACGATATGCAACCAAGACTTGTCCAATTCTAGCCGCAAGGCAACATAACTCAATCTCATCCACATTCAGCTATGCAAAAGCATAGCATACTTTGCAGCGCAGCGCTGCTGGAGCCACATGCTCGGCATTCGGTTATACTGGTTTGGTCCCATAACATGGGGCATGTTTACTGACTGGGCTTTAGGGCGCTCACACACCGACGGGCACCCAATTGCTTATTAAAGTCAAATTATAACTTTGAGCAATCATTAGAGTACGCAAAGCGTTCCCAAAAAAGAAAGCAAAAAATGGCACTAAACTTAGTTACCCAGAATAACGTACGCATCGTACGTGTACGTGGCACAATATTAAAATGTCTTTTGTTCATGCATAATATTTAATGGCGCGTTATCTCAATTCTCTGCCTAGCTGACTGCACAAAAGTTAATCACATACGCAGCCTTCCCCTCTCCCATATGCCACCTCTGCTGGGACGTAGTTAAGTATTGATTTTGGCCAGATACATCTGTCGAGAGGAGTACGTACTCGAATTCACTCTCGTACCCGCACTCATATTCACACTCGAACTCACACTCGCACTTGCTATCTTTGCCTCGCTGGGCTAGCGGATTATAATACGAACATAATCCCAAATGAAAGCGAATGTCTTGAATTCCGCAAATTAAGGCAGCTCAGTGACAGAAGAAGCAGAAGGAACAGCAACAGCAACAGCAAGAGCAAGAGCAACAGCAGCTGCAACAACAACTATAACATTCGAAAACACAAAAACTTGGCATTTTCTTTGACTTTTTCGTTTTTCTTAACACTATCCTGCAGGAGTTCTTTGAGTGGGTATATTCTTACAAAACTTTTGTATGTGTTCAGAACGAGCTTAAAGAGTTTGCAAAAAGGGTTTATAAGGGAAAACAATAAATACATATCGAAAAATATGTTATGATATTATTATTATTATTATGATTATTTTGAAGTGAAGAAAGTTTAAAGAAATTGTATTATTTCATTAAGAAAATGTCTTAAATATCGACGCCATGCGAAAAGTATAATTATCCATATACAGCTTACGCATTTTAAAGAATATTCTTTTTATGTAACATTCACATTTTATATATAATTGAAAAGTACTCATATTATTCATTCTTATTCAAATTATTTGATTGGGTATCTCCGTAGCATGACAGTTGATATTTTTGTGAGCTTGACACTTATTTGTTTCTAGATTTTCTTTGCACTTTTCGTGCGTGTTTAAGTTAAGCTGGAAAAATGTTTGGCATAACTTTTGCTTTCTTGCTTTTTGTTGAATTCACGGCTGTCAAGGCGAACATTTTATTCTTTTATTTTAACTTTCAAAGGCTGGCGAGCAAAATTTGTCGTTTGTGCCTTTCCTTTGCTCTTGGCCTTGTTGTGTGGGCCTTGTCTTTGGCTTGGTCATGTTATCCACCCCGTCACTTTTTCTCTTTCTCTCTCTTTCTCTCTTTCTTTCTTTCACTTCACATTTACTGTAAATGAAGCTGTTCGTGGGCGACTGAGAACTGTAGACTGGCCATGTGTCATTCTGCCACATTTGTTGTCGTCATTGGCATCGTGGCAACAACATTTTTGGGATCGACAAGGGTTCAGACAGCACGGTCTCAATTTGCTTGGCTAATGCTTTATTTTACACTCGGCAACATAATCTACATTTAACGAAGCCATTTGCATTTTAAATGCTCATAAATTTACTGTATTTCTTGGCCCTAATAGATATCTCTAATTGGCAGTGCTCAGTGGGGTTCAGTTTCGTTTGAAAATTACGTAAACTTAGTGTGGTGTTTGTATTTTTTTTATTGTGCTGCTCAATGAACTGTGAAAACTTCAAAAGCATTTCGTTTTATAACTTGAAACTTTAATTTGTATAGTCACACTTTAAGCCAGGCTTGTAACCAAAGTTATTTTATCTTTTCTTTACAGGACAGCTGCTCATTTTCGGTACTTGCAACGTTCGCCAGGAAAATAGCTCCACATGTTGGGCAAATTCACATCAAACCATGTCCAGGTCTATCACCAATACTCTCGCACAGTGTCCGTAAAGAAGCCCGTAAAGGTATGTTGTTGTCAATGTGCTCGGATGTTTTTCTTTATGTTATTCTGTTGTTCTTGTCTTTGTCATTTTTGCATGCATATTTCATGGCTCCGTTTTGTTTGTGCTGATGCCTAAATAAACACAATTAGCATAACATGCATTACTTGATGCCCCAAGGGTTAAAATCCTATTAAAGACAGCAATCGTCATATTTCATTCAACGCGTTTCTTTTGTGTTCTAATATTCGTAATTGGGTGCCGGATTTTATTTTATTTTTTGTGTCCGTCTTTTCAGTTTATTTTGCATGTTTTTCTTGCATTTGTCATAATTAAATCTTGCGAAAATATAGGAAAGTATTTTTTTTAGAAATAACTATAACAATAATAATCCTTTTAATAATGCCTTACGGATAAATCGTTTTAAGTTGATATAACGCTTGGTTTGGGAACTAAATGAATTACGTCAGCTTACGAAAATGTGGCAAGTAACTTAAAGAGCACATGAAATCTAAGGTTAATTTTGTATTTTTTGCTTGGCTTTAATTCCTTTATTAATTGCACAAAAACGCTTGTTTTTAGTTGGTTAAAGACTTTTGTCAAGCTTTTGCACAAATGGTAATACCAGAGCACGCTTTGCACCCCTGCATGCCCAAATCAATATGCAACAATAAACTATAAACGTTGATAATTTACAAATATATACTTTTCTTTCTCGTTCCGCCCCACTCTTGCGCCCACCAATGC